AGTTCAAGTATTTTTACACTGCACTCTTAATAATTAACAGGACCCATGTCTATGAAGGAGGTGGACACACAAATGCTCAACGTGCAGAGTAAGAATAGCAGCTACTTTGTCGAATGGATACCCAACAATGTGAAGGTGGCCGTTTGTGACATTCCGCCACGCGGCCTCAAGATGGCGGCCACATTCATTGGCAACACCACAGCCATTCAGGAGATATTCAAGCGCATCTCCGAACAATTTACGGCCATGTTCCGCCGCAAAGCCTTCCTGCATTGGTACACTGGCGAGGGCATGGATGAAATGGAGTTCACCGAGGCGGAGAGCAACATGAACGATCTGATATCCGAATATCAGCAGTATCAGGTGCGACACAATCTGCAGCTTACTTTTGACTTTCCTCACATAATCCATTCACATTTACTCTATTCAGGAAGCCACCGCTGACGACGAGGTCGAGTTCGACGACGAGCAGGCTGAGCAAGAGGCTTACGAGTCAGAAGCACTGCAAAATGGCAATGCCTAAACAAGAACTCGACACTTTCGCGTTTTACTTGTTATCTGCACGATTATCTATTTAACTAGATTTTCAAATGTGCAGACACACGGAATGAAAGTTAATAAACAGTAAACATAGTATTTCATTTTCTGTACGCCAACTTTGTATTAATTTTTTGGTGAACAACTGCTGCAAGTCGCTGCTTAAACTAGTTGCGAATTTTACGGACAAGAGCATTTTTTATGCGAACGGACATAGTACATGAAGAAGATACTCCGAAATATTCCCTCCTGGACTGTTACTTTGCAATTAATATTTGAATAAGATTTCAAGCTGTTCTCATCTACTTTGTGAATGTTACAGATACTTATATGGTAAACTTGTTAGTGAAAGATTGATAAAACTCACCAACTATCAGTATTATAATCCTCCTATCCTATTTTGATAAAAAGCTTTTTAGAATCTGGTTACTTTATCTTTCTCCCTCGTGGTATTCACTTGGGATCCTTCAATTCACACGCATACATTTTGTCCCTTCCTGTTGGTATTTCCTATATCTTTTGTTCCTATCCTTGACCTTACATTCCGCCAATTACATATCCGTTTAAACATTTTGTCCACCATGCAAGATTTTATTGTGTCGTTAGACTAACACTATAGTGGATAGTTGAGCAAAACATCCTGTCGTGCCAGCTCCAACAACATGGGATCGTCGAAGAACTTGTTTATAGACACGTCCTCGGAGAGACCCTTGCGCCGACGTGTCTTGATCATAAACTCACGGGCCAAGTGAGACGCTTGCTGTGGCTCTAGCGGCCGTATGACAATACTCTTGTCCAAAGGATCGCCTGGTACGATTTGCCAATGATGGAAAACAGACAGACAGAAGGCCTGACCTTGGGTGTGAGTCCGCAGATCTGTCTCAAACCCAAACGAATCGATGGCGGGTATGAAAGCTTTGATTGTATAAATGGGCGAGCCCGAAACGGGCGCATCCTGCGTAACGTGACCTCTGCAAACACATAGAAAATGAGAGCACATCAAAACAGATGTCGTAATTTCGAATGACTTACCTGCGCCGCGCGAGCACAGTGTATACGGCAGATACACAATCTGCGGGTGCCTGCACCTCGACAAACAGATAGGGCTCCATCAGACGGGGCGTGGCCATGAGGAAAGCCGAGTAGGCGACACGACGTGCTGTGGGAATGATTTGGCCGCCACCACGATGCAGTGCCTCATTGGCTATGACCGCATCTAGAATTTTGAACTTGACATTACGTATGGGCTCCTCGCAGAGCGGTCCCTCGCGCGTGCCCCACTGAAAACCTTGCACGATTGAATCCTTAACCGCAGTCAGTAGATTTTTGTCCACCTCTGAGGGCAAAGTATCATCCACCAGGATATTAGGTCCAGTACTATCCGGACCGAACGCCCAAATGGAACGTGCAGCCAGCAAATCCCAATCGTAGTTAACTTGAAAGAATTCGCCAATACGCTTCTTATTCCAATTGATGCAGACAGTCTCGTTCTCGATGTCCTCGGCCAGCCCCTTCTCCAGCGGCTCGGATATCATGGTAATCTTATTCTTTTTGTTCGGTGTCTCTGCGAAACACTTCAATGAACTGGTCTCCACAACGGTTTCACAAAATGCCACCACTGGATCGGCCACCTTGATATCAATCTCCGAGTACATTTTGCGTAGATCATGCATGACACAGTCTAGGTAGAGCTCGCCCGTGCCTAGGATAACGTGCTCACCCGACTCCTCGACGCGGGTGGAAAGCAGAGGATAAGATTTGTTCACCTTACGCAGGCCGTCCAACATTTTGGGCAATTCTGAAGGATTCACCGGCTCCACAGCGATCTTAATAATGCTTTGAGTGTTAAACTTGAGCGGCCGGAATATATACAGATCCTCGGGCACATTTATATCCACGATGCTGGAAGTTTTCACAATGCACTGATCAATGCCCTCGATGAGCACCCAATTGCCTGAGGGCACACGATTCAATTCAACTTTGTAGCGGGCCTCATAGACCCAGAGTCTGCCCACTTGGAGAATGCGCGAATCTTCCTCGTCCTGCAGTGTGTAGTTCTCGCCTAGCACACGCACCTCCTGCCCGGCATGCAGTGTGCCGGACACAATTCGTGCCAGCACCTGAAAGAAGGTGCAGTCGTCGTTGGGGTACATCTTAGAGCTGTGTACCATCAGCGTGCCGTACTGATTGCACGTAATCATGTCACGGTAAATATCGCCCTCCTTGGGGCCCGTGTAAATGTGATCCACTTTACGCTTGGCATTCTCCAGCGGTGACTTAATGTGCTCCACGCACATATCCACAAAACCGCAGCAATCGCCCATAAAACGATTGCACACCACGCGCAACAATGGCCGTATATTTGACTTCATCTCATCTTTGGATACTCGCACATGCAGCTCCGACAAGGTGTCGGCCAATGTGGTGTCTACATCTCCCACAACTTGAGCAATCAATTTATACATAGGCTCCAGTATGAACTCCACAAAACTGCGCTGAGCGGAGCTATGCGGTGGTTTCTTAGTGAATTTGCGCCTGTTGCGGTAAAAAAAGAGTTCATTTAGGAACATTTTGGTAGCTTTATAGAGCATACTTACGACTTGCTATGGAAATACATATCACCCCAGAGGCGCTTAGCAAACTCATTGTAGTTGACGCCCTCATACGTGTCTGCATAGAGTTTTGCGAAGGACTTCAAGGTGAAGCAAAATCCATACAAGGAGCTTGCAAAGCAAACGTTACCCAGCACGGGAGATACCATCAGATTATCATCCGCGCTGCCATAGGTGCTGCATTATAAATAGAGTGGCATTTAAAATAGATTCATTATATGAAGGCATCTGCCCACAAACCTCAACAAACTGTTGACTTCCTCGACAATGTGCTTAAGCTTAAAGTACGCGTCCTGAGGCGGCAATTTAAGCTCCAGGATTAAGCGATCGATCTGAAATAAGAATATAGAATGTTAGTACTAAGTAATTATACTTTCATAGATCAAGCATAGAAGGCACCTTGTTGATGCACACAGTGATGGCCAGTCGCTCCTGCACAGCATGCTTAAGCAGGCGTTCGGTGTTTAACATAACTCCCTCGGATGCATCAATAAATAGCACCACGCCGTCACTCATGCGCATGGCGGCGGTTGCCTCATCTGAGAAATTAACATGACCGGGCGTATCGAATATGTTCAGCAAGTAGCTCTTTTGCTTGACATCCTGCAGTACAAGCGTAACCGGAGTGGCTTTAATGCTGCAACCACGCTCCTGCTCTGTGAAGAGCGTATCTGTGTACCGCAGTGATCGTTCCTCCATATTCTCAAACTGAGGATGCGTTTGACGAATTAGGCAATCCACAAATGTGGTCTTGCCGTGGTGCAAGTGACCAATTAGCGCCACGTTGCGAATCAATGGTGGAGTGTCCATCAGATCAGCCATGAATTCCATATCATACGTGGTTTCGGGCAGATCTTGTTCTTTGATCTGAAACTTAAGCTTTTTCACGGGCTCAATAAGCGGCTTGTCCAATGGTTGTGCATCCTCCTCCTGCACAATTGTCTCCACATCCGGCCCATACACCTCAACGGCCGATGGATAATAACGTTTGTCCTCATGCAGCACAACAGCCGTCACTTCTTTGTCTTCATCATCTTGTGGCTCCGCTTCGTCCTCATCCATGGCATCCTCCTGCAAAAAGCCACATATTAGCATTGATATAGTTTACAAATTGACGAACTTACATCTTGATCATCGTGCACATCGGGCTGACCGTAAATGCTTTGGTCATCATCCTCATCACTGTCCAAATCGGGCCCTATATAGTTGCCAAACTCATCATACAAATCGGAATCCATTCTGCAATATATACGAGCACATATATATTGCCATTCCACTCTCATATATATATCGTTAATAATGGAAATACACTTTTTTTCTTAATGGGAACATGGGTCACCCTTATGTATATGTATGTATGCGTGCATGTCCCCAATTGCTAAACGTTTTCATGGTACAGCCGGCATAGCCAAAACAGCTAAACTAGACAAAACAGTTAATTACCTCGACTTTCAAACAGATGTTGTTGACGCTTATTTAGTTTTTCTTCAATTTACAACACCTAATACTTCTTAATTGTCAAATTACAAAGATGTTTAACAAGAAAACGCGGAATACGATGCACGCCACTCTTCTTCTTTGAAACTAATCACACAGCTGACCGGCGACAGTGTGACCAAAGCAAACGATAGTCGGCAATTTGTAGTGCTGCCAACTGCACCCAATGTGCATGTGAGGTAGCCCTGGCGCGAAATCAAAATTTAAATGACCACTTTTCAGTTAATTTTTTTTTTCTTTTGCAGCCGTCTGCAACATAATAACCTTGGCCATCCCTTGGCAGCAATTAAGACAGGTAACAAAATAGCTCAGGTAGGTAACCAGAGATTTCAATTATGCGACAGCTTGTTAGGCTAAATAGTCAACTGAGTTACTTACGCACAAGCACATCAAAATGAATGTGTGGCTAGTTTTGTTGTCGGTTTTGTATGCAACTACAATTATTTGTTGTAAAGCTTTAACTGTTGAAAACTCAATAACATTGCCGAACAAAATTGGCAGTCGCGAAGACTGGTTTATATTGTCCAAGTATTACGCCAGCATTCACAAACCGTACAATGTAAAGAAATATGTGCCTTACAAGCCTGCAGACAAGCCAACTACAGTGGACACTCCTTTGACATCAACACCGCTCCATACCAGCACCACGGAAGCAGCAGAAGGCGATCATAACGAACAGACTAGTGAAATGGGAATGGTTGAAACAAGCACTGTTGAATCTACAACGGACGCATTGACGAGCACCACAGAGATGTCCGAAATGTCCACCTTATTGCTGTCTATAATTGGGAGCACACCAGGCACTGAGAGTACTACCTCATATGACGAGCTGAGAGAGTCGAGCTTCCAGCCGTATAACGAGACTAGCTATACTAGCGAAGCTCCTGCAACGTCTCTAGATGTCACCAGCGAAATCCACTTTGATGCAGTTTCAACAACAATCCCGCCAGAGACGACAACCGATGTGGGCGATACGACAACACAAGTTCCTATGCTCACCATCGAAACACCAACATCCGTTGAAGACACCACTTATGTCAACTGTTTGCTGCCGACAACGTCTTTTCAACAAGAAACCACAACGGAATCGGGAGTTGCAACCACAACCTGGTCGGAACCGGACGGCACAAGAGACGAGGCAAATACGAGAGCCCAACTTCTTGGAAGTACAACCCAACCAACACCAACAACATCATCTGAACCCGATACGACAACGGACGGAGCAGATACGACAACCCAACTTCTTATAACAACCCAATCCTCATCAGCAATAACATCTGAGCCCGAAACAACAACGGATACGACAACTGAACTTTTAACAAGCGTAACCCAAACAACAACCACTTCATCAGCGGAACCGGACACTACAACAGACGTGGCAGACGCGACAACCCAATCCACTCAAACGACATCATCTGAGCCGGAGACCACAACCGGAATGGCAGATACAACCACACAAATAACTATATTCACAACCCGAACAGCACTATTAGAAAGTGGCACAACTGAAATACCATTTGGCCCGAGCAGCACTATTGCTTTTGAAAGCACCACCGAAGCAGATGCCGTCGTTGAGGTAAATACGGATGAGACGATGGCCAGAACTTCCTCCGGAGATGCCATTCTTGTGGATGATATAATCCAGGCTAAGCCGCGAAAGTTGACATATTCTTCAGATGTAATGCCCGAGATGGAATGGTATTAAAATGCACAAACAAAACTATTTGAATATGCTAATTTATAGAGGAATAAAATTTAAAAAAAAATAATAACTTTAAACTACAAACGGCTGCGTAGCGTTGCCAGACTATCATATCGAATTTACCAGGGCTTCCATTTCAGAGGTAAACAGCAGAGCGCAGATAGACCAACATTTTCTTGCACGCAGCCCTAGCAGCAGCTCAAACCAAAAATATTAAAAAATGTTTAAATTAACAAGGATACTTGCTAGAAATGGTGACTGAAATGCAAATAAATTAAATAAAAAATATGTTAAACAAGTGTTTTCCCCTTAGCCACTGTGGCCAATTTGACGGGCGCTCGTAACCTGCGCCCACGTTTGTATGCCAATGCTGCTGCCTTGAATGAGAAGGAACAAACGTTGACGGCAGCAAACCCGGACGAACCGATAGACATAGCAAATCCCTATAAAAAGGATCGTCAGCTGTGCATATTGTGCAAGCACAACATAACACCGCACTACAAGAACGTGAAGCTACTGTCACAGTTCCAGTCACCCTATACGGGTCGCATTTACGGCCGCCACATAACCGGGTTATGCAAGCGGAAACAGGAGGATGTCGAGAAGGCCATATTGCGCGCCCAGCACTGTCTAATGATGCCTGGACACCACAAGGACTTGGACTTTCTGCATGATCCCAAGCTATTCGATCCTGAGAAGCCTGTGCGGCCACATAAATATTAGACACATGATTTACATTTACATTTTGTTTGGTTTTGCCGTTTGTTTTCGAACGCAACGAAATACATCTTACAATTAGCAGTAAGAATTGAATTGTGTATTGTACGTACATCAGTCTTGATCCAAGTACTTGAGCATTTCTAGTGGTATACCCAGTTGTGTGAGCAGCGTTTTCTTAGCTACTCGTGGCACAACCAACGCCTGCAAATCATCCATAGCCGCAACAAAACCATTTTTCCAAGTCTCTATGTCTGCCTCGAGCTCAAGTATTTGACGTTGTCTCCAATTGTTAAGATGTGCGTTTGCAGTTGCCTCCGACGGCTTCGGGTCGGCCTTCTTAGGCGCGAGCTCGCTCGTGTCAGCAGTGGCAAATTGCAACCTTTTCTTAGTCAGATCCTTGCGCTTGCGTGGCAAGCCAGGACGTCGGCAAATTGTCGAGTTCGCCTTTAATTTACCAGGCAATGCGCGTGGAGTTTCGACAGCATCAGCAGAATTTTCATTCTTCTCGTCTTCTGATAGCAGCGTTGCTGTCCTCTGAGTTTTTTGTAAACGTATGCCCGGCGTTGTGTCAGCTCTTTTGTGCAATCTTAATCCCAAACGACGCCTCGGCCGTGGCGTAACATCAGGCGTCTCAGCCATCCAAGAACATCCAATTTGTCTAATGAAGCCTCACAAATAATTAGAGTTGTTTCATCTGCAGGCGTTGCCAGACAAACATATAATAAGGCCGTATGACGCATACACACACACACACACACACACATGTATAAATGAACGCATATCGTGATGAAATTCCAATGTCCCTTTGATTTTAGGCCCTGAATAATAATAATACAGAAATGTTTTGCCAAATGTTACACCAACCAATAAAAAACAATACATTTTTTTTTTTTAATTTTATTTATGTTATGAATATATAAACTGCGCGCTTCATCTCGTCCTTCCAATTGGGGTTGTATAAAGTCTACAAAAATTATGCGCTCTTTATCTGCCCTATGATTATACATGTACTATATGTAAGTTTAATCGCAATGCCGACTAAATGTGACCTGATACTGATAATTGGGGAATAAGTATTGATTCCACCATTCCAAGTGTATTTTGGCTTCGAATAAAAATCTCAGCACTTGCTAAAATCGACGCTGATATGATTAGAAATAATTCTATGAACTATGTGTACGAGCTTACGAACTTAATAATCATAAATGAGAATACACAAATTAAAAAAAAAAAAAAAGGAAAGGAGACAAGAGAGACAGAACGACATATACGACGCTCCGCTCCGCTCGGCTCCACTCCGCTGCTATCCGAAGATTGAAGATTGGCAACAAAAATTCTTACAAACGAACCTAAGTATATTGAAGCACTAGAATACGACTATTTTGTATGGGCAGGCACGACTACGGTAGCTTGTGATAGCGCTCCACGTCAACGCCGCGAAAAGTGACTTTGCAGACGCACTGCTGGGCCGTCGACAGCATGACGAGGCACTCGCGGCAGACCAGATGACGACAAGTGCGTATCTCGTAGGCAAACTGGCCGCTGCGGCAGTTAATGCAGCTGGGTGGCTGCTGCAGAACCGTGCTCACTTGCGTGTAGCGGGTGATCTTCTGCAAGGTCTGCTGTAACGCCTGGTCAATGGAAGATGTTGGGCCCGCTGCCGCTGACGTTGTCGGCGTTTGATTGGCGCTGCTAGCTGCGGTAACAGTAGAGCTAACTGTATACGTTGAGTAGCTGTGTCGCGGCCGCTTGGCAGCTGGCGGCGAGGTCGGCGAAAGGGAACCTGAGAATGCCGATGTGGCCGTGGCAGTGACGGTTGACTTGGTCTTGCGCTGGTGCTGCTGGTGCTTGTAGACGCTGCTTAATGAGGAATAGGTGCCGACTGCCATGCTGCCCGGCAGGCACATGTGGCTGGCAATCTGAGATGCGTGGCGACGACGCATTCGCGAGCTGCCCAGTAAACGCGGCACTGATTTAAACTGCTCCGAGTGCTCCATTAGAAACTTTTCGATGCGCGCCTTGAGCGCCAGGTTTAGTATTGCTTTGCGTTGTGAGGTATATTCAAGTCCCGTGAACGGATCAGAAGGCAGGCGACCCCATTTGGCCTCCTCCTCCGAGTGCTTATCTATAGTGGATTGGTCGACAACCTTGCCGGATGGCAGCACCGTGGGAAATATCTACAAGAAAATGAGGCGAAGAGAAAGAGGGTGAATCTTAAAGGGGAACGAGCAAAGGCTTAAGCTACGCACCATTAACTCCCAGGTGATTGAGTCGAGAAACTCCTCTGGTATCTCCAGCATCGATTGTTCGCGCAGTTCGGGAATGTGACGCGAAGGCGAACGCTGGCCTGCCTGTTGCTGCTGTGCTTGGTCCCTGAGTCCATACGGATCGCTTACCTCGCTCCATATGGTTTTCATTAGCTCACGATCAGCTTTATCCAGGCTGCGAGCCGGTAGACCCCACATTTGTATCTTGCGCAGTACCGGAGGACAGCGTTCGGTGGCACGAATCACAATCTTCACGCTGTTCGTGGTGCCCAGTATCTTGTGGGCCGTCTTGAAGAAGAACACTTTCTCGCTCTGCTGCTGTGCGGCTGCGGCACTGCTGCGCGAGTTATAATCGCTTTGATAGCAAAAGGTAACAGAGTCCATACCCTTGGGAAGGTCACGCACGTAGGCAACGCGCTCCCAAATGCCGTCGTACTTGCCATGTACCTCGAAGCCAGTGGAACGCAATGCACCAGAGCTGGGCCATAGTTTGATCACCTTCAGATCGATAGCTTTGGGAAAATCAAAGACAATCTCAACGGGCGGCTTGCAGACTTGAAAGCACATAAAGCCTCGCTCCATCTGCTCCGCATCGTCGGCTATGAGATTGGCAGCTGTATAGCCATCCTCGCAGACAGCATCGCATTCCACAGAGGGTTTAAGTTTCGGATTGAGAAAGTTGATTAGACTACTCATTGAATGCCTGTGTGTGTGTTCCCGTTCTCTTCTGTGCTCTGCTATTGGTCACGCGGCGTTGCCGTTGCGTCTGCTTCGCCCCACCTGCTCTGATTTTTTTTTCTGCTAATTCGCACAGAAAATGGCGTCACTGGCTCCTGTGTTTGCTATCGTTGCTTACAATTACTCACGCCTCTCATGCACGCTCGAAATAACCAACACACGCGCAATGAAGCGTTTAAAAAAACATTGAATTTTGTATTAATTCGTTCGTTTTTCTTGCAATTTTCCAACAATCCTTGCCTTTTTGCAGATATTTTCTGCCCTTTTTCTTCTCGTCTTTTAATGGCTAATAACTCAGCTGTTTAGAATTATGATGCCAGCTGCCTTGGCTAGGGTTGCCATATGTGCGCATAGTCATACTATGCCAAGGCAAGGCTGGTATTTTTAATATACAGCGGTATTAAAGCGCAAATTGTTTTTATGTAAATTTGCTGCCTAATCTTTTCTATGGTGCCTATGGATATTTTTCTTTAAATAAAAGTAGATACATCGGCTTAACACACTTGTGCAAAGTTATTTAAAATGATGTGACCACATTTATAATTATTTATATTTAATTAATTATATATATTTAGCTTCTACTGTTGATTATTTAATGAGTATTTTTAGTACACCGTAGAAAAAAGCGATAGTCACAAAAACAACTATCGAAACTGAACATTCTGGTATTTAAAATGATTTCGCTTCTAAAACGTAGTATATTTAAATAAGAAACAATGATACCCAGGTCTTGCCCATGGCACGTTTAAAATACGTTCACTCAAAGATCATTGAAAGTGAGTTTTAAGCCGATCGGACAGTAAGCAAAACGCTTTTATACAATCGTTTACCGCCAATCGCTGAAACACGTTTTCCCTTTTCCCTTTTATCGACTGCTTGAAAACGGGGAAATTTATGTGGGAAATTTACTGCGCGGTCTTTTTGAAAATTTCATGTCTCCAGCTATTAGGTTCTGACAGCAACGCGTTCGTTGATACAGACGGATTGAAAAACTTTTAACTTTATGATTAGTTTATATAAATAAATAAAAATTTCTCTAGACGCTGAGTCAACGGGCGGAAAATGAGTGGAAAAATGATATCCATAATAAGAAGCACAAAACTTGCCAATATATTTCAATATTTCTTATCTATTATTAGTTGTTCACGGGTACCGGGTAAACAATAAAGAATTCCAAATAAAAATATTTTAATGATTAATTTTATGAGCGCTAAATCGCTTTTAGATACTGAAGCTATAGTTAGTCAAAGTGATTAGCTTCACTTCTGATTATGCATAGATCTATCCTTATCAAGCACTTCAGAGTGATAAAAATTCAGTGAATGGGCAGCGCAAGCTAATGATAACGGCCTTTCGAAACCTATAAATTGGACTCCAGGCGGGGCAGCTTTTTTAGTGGATCAGCAAATGCCATGAAGTGTTTGCTTGTGGTGTTTTGCAGTGTTATTGCCGCATCTGCGGTTAACCTGCCAGGAGTGCCAGTGGACTTCGACTTGGACAATAAGGTGCTGTCAGCCATAGCCGACGATGTGGCTGGGCGTTTGGAGCAGGAGTACTTGACCTTTTGGAAAACAGGAGTCGAAACACCGGCATTTAAAAAGCTAACACAACAGCTGGCCAAGGCGCATACCAAAAAGGATATATTCACCAAAAATCTGCCCGAACTGGAGACGCGCGATAGCTTTGTGGTCTGCACGCTATGCCGCTCGATTATGAACGTGTTCATGCGCGCCGTACGCGAGGAGGATGGCGAGTTGAATGGCGAGAACAGCGCAGCTATAATGAAGGATATTGCGATGGACGTGTGCGATCGCATGGAGCTGCAGACACCGGAGGTGTGTGAGGGCTTAATCGACTTCAATCTTCCAACTTTGGTATACATAATGCGCAACTCGGAAATGGATTCGCAAAGCTTCTGCTCGCTCTTCATGGAGGTCAGTTTCTGCAATACGGGCTCCAATCCAGCCTACAACTGGACCCTCACCGTGGACAACAAGGTTGAAGAGCCCAGCAGCTCCAAGTCGGGCACACCACGTCAGAGCGATAATGACATCAAAATATGTCAGTTCACTGACATACACCACGATCCGCTATACGAGCCGGGCAGTCTCGCCACCTGCGCTGAGCCAATGTGTTGCCAGCGTGAGAAGAGCACCACGGAGGGCACCAGCGCTGCTGCAGGCTTCTGGGGCGATTATCGTAACTGCGATTTACCGTGGCGTTCATTTGAGTCGGCGCTGGATCATGCAGCTAAAACTGTCGACTGCACATACATCTATCAAACTGGCGATGTTGTTGACCACATGGTCTGGGCAACATCCGTAAAGAAGAATACTGAGGTGTTGACCAAGGTTAGCGATCAGTTTACCAAGGTATTTCCAGAACTGAAAGTTTATCCTTGCATTGGTAATCATGAGCCTCATCCGCTCAATCTGTAAGTTATCTTCAAATACTCCGTAAAATCTTCCGCTTAACTTAAGCAAATTCCGTACAGCTTTAGTCCCGAAGGAGTGCCGGACGAGATTAATACCAAGTGGCTGTATGAGCACCTGTACAATGACTGGTCCAAATGGCTGCCGGCAGAGACAAAGGAGACCATTCTGAAGGGTGGCTATTACACGGTTTCGCCAAGAAAGGGTTTCCGCATCATTGCGCTGAATGGCAATGACTGCTATACGGACAACTTCTGGCTGTACCACAGTGGCAACGATAAGATTCCACAGCTGCAATGGTTCCACGATACACTGCTGGCAGCCGAGGCTGCCGGTGAGTATGTGCATGTCCTGACCCACATACCCTCGGGCGATGGCACATGCTGGTCGGTGTGGGCTAGGGAATATAACCGCTGCATTACCCGCTTCCACAAGACCATCAGTGGCATCTTTAACGGTCACTCGCACAAGGATGAGCTGGCGGTGCACTATTCGGATGAGGGTCACGCCACGGCTGTTGCTTGGAATGGTGGCGCCTTGACCGCGTACAGCTACAAGAATCCCAATTACAGGGTATACTCTGTGAATCCGGACACCTACGACGTTACCAACCATCAGACCTACATTTACGACTTGAACGAAGCTAACAAGAAGCCCGACGAGCAGCCCAATTGGTTTTTGGAGTATGACTTCAGCGAGGAATTCACCGAGGATCTGAGTCCTGCTGGCATTGACAAATTGCTGGACGAATTCGCAGACAAGCCAGAGCTGATGCGCAAGGTAAGTGCCAGAGTCGAAACAATTACCTCCCACATATTTATGTTTGGCAACTCGTCTTTCAGTATTGGCGCTTCAGGGTGACCTCGGCGGAGCCCAAGTTGACTGAAGGCTGTGGTCGCGATTGCCTGGCCAGTTCGCTCTGCCGCGCTGCAGTTACGGTGAACAACCGGCGGGAACGCTGTGAGGAGCTAAGGACGCGTCTCTTTGAAGCCGTAAGTTGTCGCCCTCGATTATCAGACATTCAGCTTAATTCACTTTTGATCCCCACAGCTGGACAATGAGGAAGAAGAAGAGGAAGACCAGGATGGTGGAGCTGCTGCGCTTAGCGTTTTGAGCCTTGGCTCGCTGTTGACTCTGGTTCTCTCCATGAGAATTAGCTTCTAGAGACTTTTATCTATAATATACTATTGATAAGTTATATAATCGCACATTCCATTTTATTTTTTTTTAATATTGCGATCAAGTGCAAAATCCAAAATACATTCATACACACACACACACACACACACGCACACACTCAGCGTTGTTTGTTAATCTATTGTTTTTTAATCTCTTATCGCCTGCCATAGAATGCACCTGTGGGGCCTGTGTCCGGGCTAAAACTATGGGTTAACTGATTAGGCTAAGCATCATATTAGCGAAAATTAGCCAATAAAGCCATAAACTGTTGCTCATGTCATATATAACAAGAACTTTTATAAGTATTAATGGATATTTTATTGCCAAAGTCAGACCATATCGCGCACATTCATTTTCGCACGTGAATATTAACGATAATCCACACACGCATAGTTTCTCATTTTTAAAATATATACCTATATCTGTATATTTTGTTTTTTCCAAATTGGCACAACTATTTCAAATAGCTGCTCTTGGAACAATTGATCAAATGTTGCGGTTTGGCAGTGTTATTTGGTTTAGTATAAAATAGATTCTTAGCCAATTTATTTGCAAGGGAGTTTAATCTTACACATTGCCGTAGATAGACATTCTTGTCTTTCAGAATGATAATCAGGTTAACTGATGTCAAATCAGAATTTGAAGTGGCCAAATTGTTGTCAAACTCTTAGCCCTTAGGTTAAGTAACTAATTAAATAAGGCAAGTATTGGTTTTAAGATATTGTGAAGTACAGAATTAATGCTGTAATTTTTTTAACTATCTGTGTAAGCAGTAGCTAATAGTGTGTAGCCACGCCACTTGCTTATCAATTACTATAGAAATCTCTTGTTTGATGGTATCAATCATGATATTACGCGAATAACATTTGAAGCGATTCGATAGCCTAGCGCTTGATAAGAATGTTGACTATAAATACGATTTGTTCGCATACCCAAACTTTAGTCTAAGCCATATTGCCCTACCGCAATGTATATCCAGCGGACTCTACTGCTGCTGGGCGTGGCTTCTCTGCTGGCTAGCGGCCAGGCACATAGGCTTCCCGGTGTACCGAGTAGCTTTACCACCGAGGAGCGGCTCACAGCTGCCATTTCAGGTGCGCAGTCTTCAATAACAACGGCTTATCGCATCACATGGACAAGTTGAAGTGCGGCAGCGGTATATCAAGATTCACCACACATGTCTTTTCATTCACAGCCAGCGTAGCGGAAGAGATTAGCCAAGAGTTTGTGAAGTACCTGAAAACGGGCCTTGAATCACCCAGATTGCAGCAGCTGGGCGCTGAGCTGCGCACGGCACACAGCCAGAAGGATATTTTCACCGAGTCTCTTGTGGATTTAAGTGCAGCCGATCAGTATTTTGCGTGCACACTCTGCCGCGCCACAGTCAACGTGATTGGACGCACCTTTACGGGGCCCAATGGCGAGTTGACTGGACCCGATCGCGATGAGAATGCCAAGCAGACATTGCTAAGTATTTGCGACTACTTTAGCATTCAGACACCGGAGGTATGCGCCGGACTATTCGATCTGAACTGGCCGATTCTCGATTACATCTTCAATGAGACAGTTGCCGAGGCGCAGAGCATTTGCGGCATGCTGCCCATTAAAATATGCCAGCTGCAGCAGCCGGAATACAGCCTTAACTTGACCATTGTCGGCGAGATGCCCACGGAATCGAACTCTGCATTGCCCGAGCGCAGCGACAATGATTATC